TAGGAAATAGTTTTTTTATTTGAATTGAAATAAATCAGTTGTTCCCAGTTGATTCTGTTTGAACAGACCATTTTCGAATACAATGCCTTCTTTTACTAACTTTGCTTTCTTATTCGCTATCATCACACAATCACCTGTCTGGCCACTAAATCCACCTATTGTCCCATTGGCTGCAATCACTCGATGACAAGGGACAGGATTAGGACAGAATGGGTTCACTTTGAGTGCCTGTCCTACTGCTCGAGGTGCACTCTTGAGTGTGTCACTGAGGATCTTGTAGCTAGTGACTTGTCCTTTGGGTATCTTGGACACTAGATCGTATACTCTGTACTGGAATAATGTCACCTTATGCTTTGTTCGAGGATTCATGTACTTTTCTCTCTCTTCTTTTGTGATTGGATAATAATGCGTAGCTAATTTTGTATTTGTTTAGATGGGTCATTCTTTTTATTTATATACTTTTTTCCAGCATACTTTCAATGTCTGAATCATCTGCTACAATTGAAGAAGTTGGTTTAAAATAAGGACTCTTTCTCAACTTCATTGAATAAATGGGGAATAAAAAGAGTTTGTTTATTTTAAGAGAGAGAGAAAAAAAGAAAGAATAGCGGGGATAAATAAAATTATATGACGTTCTGAATGGATAAAGAAGCATGTACCCAAAGAATTGGTATCTTAAGAACGGACCACTAATAAGACGGGCCGATAAAATAATCATGAACAGTGTGAAGGCTGTACTGAACACTTTCCAGAACCCTCTTGGCTCACCCTGGATGCCCAATAGATTTCTGATGAACATTTCTGCTGTGATATAAAATGATTGGATAATGAAGAACACATAACACTCAAGAGTGATCTTACGGCAAGCACCCATCACTGCCATCTCATGGAGAATACCACTGAAAAAGAAGACACTCAGGGATTTCATGACATTCTAGAAGCTGATCAATGATTTCTTCTCGGCTGTCCCGGAATCTTCTTCCACATATGCTTTCATATCTTTGTCATCGTCTTTCTTGTGTTCAAGGGTTGATTTGGTAAAGATTTGAGAATGGAGGAAATAGGCCACAAACATATTCCATCGACGACACCAGAAATTACGTGGACTAAGAGGAAAAGTAATTGAGTACGATCTTACATCACGTAGACACACACACAACTTACCCAGTAGCTAAGTAAGGTTCATGCATGGACTCGATCGTATGAATTCCAAACACCAATTGAACAAATCCAAATACCATATCAATCAGACCCAAGAAACAATACAGTTAGCCGACAAACAAGTAGTGTAAAAGCGACTCGATGCTGAACCAAGGACCATTGAGTGCGCTGATTGCATACGCAGGTAACAAAGGGTCAATGATCTTCAAGATGATCAGAAATTTCAGTGAAGTCTTGAATATTTTAAATGCACCCCAGAATCGAAGCTCGCTGATGGACATCTTCAGATCAGCAGGTGTCTTCCTGATCTCGTACATGGTACCGAATAACTGGTAAAACCACAATTTGAGAGTGAGATCTTCAATAGGAAAAAAGAGACCGTAAGTTGCAATAAGAACAGGAGCAGTAATATAGATAATGTTGAGAACCATGGTGTCACAGATGACAATCAAAGGTGTAAAGAAATGTAAAAAGACAATGAATCCCTTTAAGAGTGATTTAGGGAATAAGCGTCGGCCGTAACAGAGGATCAAGAGGTCGATGGCAAATAAGCCCATGTAGACACCGGATAATTGACCATAGGAGACCACAAAGAGTGGTGATGGAAGCTGGATGTCGATGAATGGTCCATAGAGAAAGAAAAGGAGATGGTTAGATAGAGTTGAGAAAACCAGGACGACGGCTCCATTTTTATACTTGACATGTGACTAGCGATAAGCTGCATGAGATTAAGGCTTGTCAGAACGAGAAATGGATGAAGAGAGTTGACCATGAGGAGAAGTCGAAAATAGGATTTTAATATCTCAAATTATACTGTCAAATGTCCATATTAAGGTAATAAGGTCGGAAAAGGGTAGAATAAGTTTAGCTTGCATGGTAATACGTACAATAGGTGTCCCTGGTGACATCACACTTAAGGGGACACATGGAATGTACTCATAACAAGAATAATTTCAACCTTGCCCCTTCCTTATAATTTTTGTCTTTTAATTAGGTAGTCCGTATATATATCCGCGCGCACACACACACACACACAACCTATTTTATTATAGATCTCTCTGGCTAACATGGAGAAACCATGGATTGATATTTCGCTTCCATCAGGCTATGCAGTTCCACCTATTGAGTTATCGCTTATGTATGTGCTAGTTCTTTATTTAGAATTTCTCTTTCTTCGTACTACACGATGGAGATATGGTATAATCATCATTCACTTGGTACTCCCGCTTATGTTTGAATGTTCAGTATCATGGTTGACTATGTTCTTTATGGGGCTGCCCTGGTGTTTTGCTTCATTCCTGGTATTTTCTCCTCCAGATACTATCTCGGATGGATGAAGAGTGTGATGAGTATTGCTTATGTACCCACAACTGACAGTGATTGGCAGATACGTAAGCGGGGTGTGGCAAAGATTGGATTGGGATTACTTAAGTTGAGTGGATTGTGGATAGTGGATCCTTATTGCCTGTAGCTGATCGAATGCTGAGTTACCCATGGTTATCTGGATACAGTCTAATGTGTACAGGATTATTTGGAATCAAAGGATACCTTTTCCTGGGTGTGGTAGATGTGTGTATGGGAATACATCAAGTATTGCTTGCAGTGAATTATATCGATGTTTTTGATTCACCCATTATATCTTACAGGTAAGAGAGCAGTATTCTATGACTGTGTGCATGTATACTCATTTATTGCAATTATAGCCCAAGATTTCTGGAGGTAAGATAAAACTAGACCAACTAATAACTATTGATTCACCCTTTTATTACACAAGTAAACGATGGAACAGGGCAGTACGTAATATATTCCACAACCGTGTATTCCACAATAAAGAAGCATTAGATGAATCGTGGATTACGCCACGTGACTTACGAGGCCTAACCACATTTGCCATCAGTGGATTTCTCCATGAATGGATCATCATGGCTTATGCCGCAAAATCACTCTAGAAAACCTTGCCTTCTTCCTCATCCAAGGCATATTTGTATATATAGAAGTCAAGATGAGAACAGGAAGACTCAGAGAAGACCCCACTGGCCTCACACGTCTCTTCCTTATCCTTGCTCACCTGCTATTGATGTGCATTACAGGCAGATTATTTCTTGCCCCTTATTTACGCTTTATTCATAATAAAAGACATTTCAGATAATTAATCTAAGCGTGCGTGAAATGCATACACGGTCTTGGCGGTATATGGATGATCCCTGGATACTAACACACTGCTCCTCCAATCAGGTTTATTGGGTGCATCAGGATTCCTACTTGCTTCTAAACAGAACCCTGAACTAGGACCGATATCCACATACCCTTGATCCTTCTTTGCCTTGAGTGTGTTAGCTATCCATCCACCCGTATAGAATTGGAAGGTGGGATCTGTAGTTGAAAAGTCGAGTTCGATGCCTGTTTCCGGACAATAAATTTCGGCCACATGACGTAGAGGGAGGGAAGCTGTATCTGGCTGGTACTTTGTGTGGATAACATATGGGTGATCATACCCATGCGTACTCCCCAAATGCTCCATACGCATTCCAATCGACTTACCCTGATGTTCACCCTAATGAGAAGTTGTGAATAAACCAATCAACACCATGCATTCAATGTAACTTACTGAGAAGTTCATCCAGGGTACTTCTGTGATAGGAATCACTTCACCTGTGGGTAAATTATGTTCATCCATAGCCAATACGGCCTTGATGTCATCTGACATGGACACACGATGATCCAATATCGATGGATTCAATTCAACACCCGATAAATTAAAGTACGTATGGTTTGTCAAGTTCACCACTGTCTGTTTATCATCTGTGGGCCTTATATTAAAAAGTTATACGGAGAATGGATCTTGAACATACATGAGTGTGTGAAATGACATGATCCAATTACGGATGTCAATACAGGGGAACAACCTATCAAGTGTCAATCAGGAAGAATGTAGGATGAGACCATGAGGATGATCTGATCTGAGATGAATACATATAAGTCTTCTAATGAATCGTAGCCCATCTATTGGATACTCTTGTTACTCGGCATGGCGTGTTTAAAGAAGTATTAGAGGATTTAAGGTATTGATCATTACTGAATCGGTATGAAAGTAGCTTATATTGAGTGGATCAATATACTAATTGCATTGACTTCCAATTATTTCCTTATGAGTTTATGTACTCAGATTTTGACACTAGTATGAATATGAGATTGTCGATTTAGGTAATACAATTAAGGTACCATTGCATGACAGTTGAGATAGAACTACAGATGAGGATCTGGATAGATTCTGATACAACAACAGGGCAGTACCCTGACGTTAATGGTGTCAAAATATACCCCTGTATGGAGTATATCATTTGAGTCGTCTTCTGGGTCAATGTATACCTCGAAGTATTCAACTGAGCGGTCTATCTTTTGGAGAAGACTATAACACTCTGGATGTTGCTTCTTCAGCAATGAGATCTTCTCATCTACTGGAATTCTGATGGTGGAGAAGTCGAAGAGGTAAGCACCTTTCGTGCGTGAATTGCGATATACACGAGACTGAATGACCAGGCTGGTCACCTCGTCGAAGACACCCTCTGTTTGGGAGGGGTGTAGGAGGGATACTTTCTTTGTTGATGCCACTTGAGCATATGAAAGTTTATTACGTTTTTTATTATGAGCTAAAGCTTGTGCAACCGTATTGTTAGTGGGAAGAGCCATGAAAGTCAGTGATATGGTATTTGCTGATCAAAAGTGTGCAAAAATTTAAAAGACAAAATTGGTGATAATATAAAACCACCTATTTAGAAAGGTGACAAGGGAACAAAAGCACATTACTTAACATTTCAAACAAACTCACATCAGAAAAATGGAGAAAGCGAGGATTGAACTCGCGACCTATTCTATGCGAAAGAATTGTGATACCACTACACCATTTCCCCACATAATTTTTTGTCAGTGTTCCAAGTACACAGCCATCGGATATGGAATTAGTGTCACAATACTATGAACGCCCCAAGAAATATAAAAGGAAGTTTACACCTACAAAACCAATCAATCAGAAGAGATCACGTCCCAAGCTGAATTGTATATTCCAACACGCCTGTCGATACCATAATCACCATTGCTAAAACTCCCATTGTCTAATGATCAATTCATAAGCCTTATCAACATGTTCATAGTCTTTTATACAATACATTGTTTCCATCAGTAGTCTCAGCAGTCATGATGCATCACATTGTCATTGCTCAGCATTATATAATTTGTATTATCTTATATTTAGTTAAATTCCCATAGCACAATCCTATTTTATCCAGTTGACTTAATATCTCAGAAAACATATAAATATACCACAATTATTATTCAATAAACATTATTCTTTATCAACTTAACAACTACTTCTCTCTTAGTTTTACTACTAAGTAAATTAGTACTCTCTTTGGGTGTATCCCCGGTTTACTATCTGTCTGGTGATCAGATACCTGATTTACATTTTTGTCGAGTCCAGAAGTACAGTTGTTCCTAATCAAGATAGTCATCAACCAATAGAAGTCCAGTACAACCTTCCGACCCAACATAACCCTAAAAAGAGAAGGTTCAAGCCTAACACCAGAGTGGCGCGAGCAAGACGAGACAAGCGAACTAAACTCAATCTTATTGGTCTCATAATCAAGATGCTCAAATAATATGATTGGTGGATTATCCATTATAGAAACATTCAATTATCAGATCAAAGATACCTCTTTATCGAAGAAGAAGACTACCCATATCACCAATCATTATTGTTCACATAGTTATTATTAGAGAATAATTGGATTCTACCTTATATATTATAACCACAATTCAATAGCTAGAAAACATATAAATACCCTGTTATTTTGTATTAAATAAACATCATCTTTTAACTTGGCTTTACTCTACTTCATAACTGTTCTTATTATCTTCTTCACTGTCTAAAGAAGTTGTTTGCTATTACCTGTCGTACATAGCCTGGTTATCCGTTTTTATAATCAACCTAAGATCACTCACTCCGATACGTGATCTGACATTTGGTAGCATTTGGTTGATTATTTCTGCTTGAACTCAACCGCTATATTAATTATTGACTGAACTTACCCTGCTGGTACCCCTGACTGATTCTGTATACTGCTTATACTTACCTGACTTACCGTTATGTCAAATCATAATCCCGCTACTGCTTCTGGATCCAATAATGTTGACTTTATTGCCAAGATGATCCAAGAATTCTCGAATGCCCTGAAGAACAACAATGCCCCGATGCATAAAACTACAGAACCATCAACCTATGATGGTACTAGAGAAGCTATGGTGATCGACTCTTGGATCCGAACTCTAGAAAGATACCGAGACTTTCACAATTGGAATGATATTAGAACCAAGAATTATGCAATCACCCTGCTTCGTGGTCGTGCTGATGTGTGGTACAGAACACTGGAGATTGCTCAAGATGAACCTGAAGACTGGTTGAGTATGAAGAGAGAATTGATTGCTTATTTTAGACCCGAGAATGCCACTAGACTTGCACGTGATAAGCTGGCCAATTACCGACAAATCGGATCTCTAGTCGACTATATCAATGGATACATGGATATCATTGCTGCTCTGTCTGGAATATCTGAGGATGAATCATATGATCGCTTTATGCGTGGTTTATCCAACAGGAATATTCGTGCAGAGATTAGACATAAGAACGCTGTGACACTTCAAGAAGCCATACATATAGCTATGTCTTATGATGCTGCCCAGTTCGAAGCCGGTACTTACCAAAGAAGGTATCAAGATCGCCCTGTACAGCGTGAGTACCGTGATGACCCTATGGATCTGGATACTATGGATTCCCGCCCTCCTAGAAGAAGCAACAATTTGGTGTGCTTCTATTGTGGTAACAAGGGCCATCGTCGTGCTGAGTGCAAGATGAGAAGAAATGATATCATGAAGATGGAGCAAGACCGCTATCAGAAGTTTAGCAAGAATCAAGGTGGTGGATACAAGAAGCAGGATTTTCATTAAATGTAGTTGATGATGTGGAAGTACAACTACAAGACCGATATACTGAAAACCTTCCTAACCATAACAGTGATATAGAACCTACCAATGATATATCAGATATTATTAACAAACCCTCTGTTCAAATGTTTAATAATAATAAAATAGCTAGTTATGAACCTTATCCTACTGTCCCCACTGCTAAGTTTTCTGATGCCAAGTATGATACGGTTATAACTGCTCCTGACTCTGCTACTGCTCCTATCAAGAAGACGTCAAGACCCCCGGCGATCCCTGAACTGCTGCCTGTATCTCACTGTAATCAAGATCTGATTGAAGAATTCAACTACTTGTTTGAGTTGAATGCTATCTCTACTAAACTGCCCCTGTACTCTGGTGTCTTCAAGAATAAGTCACTCAAGATCTTGATTGATAGTGGTGCTAGCGAAAACTACGTGTCCCCTGATGTTGCTGCTCTCTCTGACTCGTTGTTGTGGATACTTAAGATAATAGCTCATAGAATGATGATGATATAGCACATTGGAAGAGCACAGCTTAAGATCAACCCATTATTCCCATAAGTTCAATTGAATTACTTTATTGAATATTGAATAGTATAGTCTATTGTACATACTATCTATCTGTTGAGCAATGTAGACTTACTTACCTGACATCACTATAAGAATCATTCTCATTGGTCAAAGCATCCACTGCTCTTCCTGCTAGATGAGATTTACAGATGGCTGAGATGGAGATAGATCTCTGAAGAAGACCTACTGTCATTGGATGATTACTTCCCCCACATTCACTATGGCGGATTACTTCAGACATCGGCCAGGAGAATGGACCACTGGGTCCATTTAATTTTTTTGTCCAATTAGATTACTCCTTTTTTTGATAAGTAGAAGTGCTACGGGCCAGGTCATAAGTGAAAAGTAATATAGAGTGCTCAAAGCTAGATATAACATAGTTGAAATATATATGATGCACTGGGTATAGTTGAAAGTAAAAAAAGTGGATGTTTATTGCTGTTTTTATTGAATTTTATTTACTCTATCAATTTTATAAGGACAGATGTTCCAGTGAGTGGACCTATCCGTCCATTAAATAACACAGATGTATTTAGTGCAGCACATTTTCTAATTTGAATAATCATCCATTTCCTAATCAGGCATATAATATCATCGGACTACTCTAGAGAAAGTCATTATCTTTTCTATACCGTAACAGGATAAACATACTCGATAGAGACATAATCTATGCCATCTCACTTCTATTCATCAGTAATTATTGTTCTTTAAGTTATATTCAGTCAATATTATTTCTTAGGTTATTGACAACTGTTCTTTTGTCTTTGTTCATCTCTTGTGTACTCCTCTTCCAGTCCATATTATTTTGATGTTCATCACTGGGCTATGGGAGATCATCGTACTTTGAATCAATCGTTCTATATCCACCACATCACTATCTCTTAAAATCCACTGTATTGATTCACCACAATAAGTATATCATTCTTGTTCTATCCCATGGGTACTATTAAACAATAATCTTATACTAGCACATATGTCAATGATCTATTACTCTCCTTATTGTTATCTATCCCTCATTTCATCACCATTTGTATATTTCAACACTTCCATAAGTTAACAACTGGTATAAACCAATTTTTGTTTATTTATATATATCTATGATAATCTGTAATAGTGTATAAATTGTCTATGATTCCAGATGTCTACTCATTGCAACACTCATTCCACACATCCGCCACATTCATCAACGCATCTTCTTTTCGAGGGACTTCCCTTTTACTTATACTCTATGAATAACCATTGTTGCACTGGACAATATCTAAAAAAAAATATTATCAATATTCATATTCCAAAAATAGTTTGTCACTCGAGATGACGACTCATTCCACTTTCATTCCACACACTATGAAAGATTTCTCTGAGAATTTCCGCTACTTTTAGCTTATTTAACGCCCTTTCATTAACTATCGGAACGGAGAATGTTAGACAGGCCGGGGACAATTTAGGCGTTTGGATCCATTTCCCACAACTGAAAATAATGCGGAATTATAGCTGTAAAATAAATCGATAAGTCCCTTATGGCGTTTAATCCACATACCATCAAAGGTTTGTTATTGGTTGAGTCATGTACATTACAGCCTATCATTAGAAGCAATCATTTCATATATCATTGGATGGATAGACATTATTATTGTGAATATTATGGTATACAAGCATACTAAATAGGATTTTATTATAACAGAAAAAACGATTGTAATAACTAAGGCTAGTAATAAAGAAAGAATAACTATATATTGGATGCAATCTATACTATGGAGTATAATAAACACTATAGACATTGAATGTTTTGGTAGATAAATAGAAGAAGCAGTGTATATCGTATGTGGTTTGGATGGTAAGCATAGTATGTTATTGAAGAGATGATTGATGGCCTTTGGAAAATAAACTGATTACACTATATGAAGAAGAAGATCACTTAGTAAACAGATGGTATAGACGACATGACAACTACTTACATATACACCTTTTACTCATGATTATCCATCTAATATGAAGAACAGAGTTAATATACTATATACTGGGTAACATATAATATACATACCTTAAACAAAGAAAAATTAGATACAGTAGCTACTTGGTTGGATAGTAGATCTAAAGGTAGAAGTAGCATAAGTAATTGTATTGACTGTATGTGATTTCAAGTACTTACATATGTGATTCGTAACAGAAGATAGGACACCTATTAAAAAGGGAAGTTAATGTCATGTATTGTTATGACATGGAGTAAAGTACATATCATACATAAGATATCCAGTAGATGATGGAGGTAGAGGCACTGGTACTGGGCTGCTAATGGAAGCACTATTAATAGATAAGAGTATAAATATTGAGGTCGTTGTATGTTG